TGTAATATATATTGCATGTATAAACATTGAAAATCAGTTAAATGACAAATTTGTTTTACACTGTTACAACTTGTGAGTTTTAAAAACTAGAATTTGTAGTTAATCCCTTTTGTTGTAGATTTTAAGATGTATGGTGTCCTTAAGTACCTTAGTTCCTCCCGGGCAAAAGCCATTAATTTAAAAATGCAGAAAGCCTTCAGTTCAACTGGTGGTGTTGGTTAAGATAATATTGATTCATTGAATTATAAACCAAGATAGGAATAGTAATATTTTTATTTTGGGGTATTGAATGACTCCAAAATAGTTTTAAGGAAATAGATACATATTATATTAATAGGGAAAAACATAGATTTGATAGTTTAAAATCCCATTAAATTTTTCTCCACAATTAAAATACTTCTAGCTGATCTTCTATGGCTTCAGGATTTTTAAAGATTTTTACTTTCTTAAAAATTATTGCCCAAAAGTAACATTGTTTTTAAAATGTCATAGATACGCTATAAGACAAATACTGCTAATATATTTGAATTACAGTGATATTTCATAGTAAAATCACAAACTATACAGTGGAAGTCCCCTAAGTCCTTAGCCTAGGCTTCTCGAGGAAATGCGACTGTAGAATCAGTTGAAATTTAACTTTGTAAAAAGCCCCTTATTAGAACCCCAAGCCACCTTTTCAGTTACCATGTTAACTAGAGTTTCTGCCATTAAACTCCCAATTAAGTAGAATTAGACTCAAATTTTTAATAATGTATTCTCTTTCCTTATTTGTATCTATTTTTAGTTATGGGAATGCTACATGATTTGTCTAAATTTGGAGTTCATAAAGGATAACCTTTCTATTAGCACAGTAAATTTTACTGCTTTTCGCCATCTAGTTGACAAATAATTTAAATCTGCTTTGGTCACGATTTTCAAGTGTGTGAGATTCTGGTTTTTGTTCGGCTTTTTTATTTTTGTTTATTTAGAGATAAAGACTGGTTAGAAATTTCAGTTTGTATGACTAATTAGGAAGATCCTTCTCATGGAAAGAATAAATAACAATTTGGGAATTAAAAAAAAAAACCCAGCCCAAGCTCCAGTGCAGCTGTGTATTAGCCATGTCTCTGGCTGGGCCCTGGTTACGTTGATGACCCTCATGCCTGTGTCCTAGAAGTGTCCAAGTGTGGGTGGGTGGGTGGGTAAAAGGGAACATCCCGAGTATCTGTTCTCAAGTGTAACTTGATATTAGCACCTGGGCCCCACCTGAGACCAATCATGTCAGTCTCCAAGGTGCAGGTCTTGGTGTTCATAAATTTTGGGTTGCTGCTCCTTGTAGCACCCTGGATTGGCCCTGAGAAGGCCATAATTTTGTCTTGGAACTAGGGACTTGGTGTAGGTAACGACTCAGGCCTAGACAATTCCAGGGTCCTGCCAAGACCTGGAGTGCCAGCTAAAGGCTGGTTGTGTCACTGCTTCAGCTAATTCAGCTTTATCCCTGTCAACTGCCTCTGCTCCTTAAGCCTGGCCACAACTTTTTTCTAATGTTCCCCATGTCTACCCCAGAGGAGGAAGCTTCCCAAAGCTCAAACTAGGTGGTGTATCCCCAGCAGAAAGGAAAGGCCTCGCCCTGCCCCAAATTCCTACCTGAGGGCCTTTGCACAAGCCATGTACACAACTCATTTATGAGAAAGTCAGTACCTGCCAAGTTTGTAAAGAACTGAGTTTGGCCACTTGAGCTCTCCAATGTCAGAACCTGTATTCATACCTCGCTCTGACTGGTTATCACCTCTCGGACTCCGTTTTCCTTGTTTGTGGACAGGATGAAGGTGGAATGAAGTTGATACTAAAGTAAGTTAAATACAAACATGGAAAAGGAGAGACAACCTTGCTGTGTTTACAGAGCCATATGTTCCACGACAAACATGACAGGAAAAGGCAGGCACTAGACGGGAACAAGCGGAGAGGGGCAGTGGGTGGAAGTCCTGAGAATCCCCTAGTCTTTCCCCTTTTCTCTCCGGAGTTTCCAGGTTTTCGGGTTGGTTGGCCACAGGCTGTGGTGGGGTGACACCTCCGGGCCTGCAGGGGGCGCAGGCGCAGAGGATCAGCCTAGTACCGGGTGGGGCCGGGGCTGCGCAGTCATGATCGTCGCCGAGGTGGCGGTGAAGTCCGCGGTCCCAGTAGTGGCCGGTGCTGAGACGGCCGCCGTTGTCCCGGAGCACGAAGAGCGGCTGTGGCCCTGGGTGAGCCCGGGCCCGAGCGCGAACAGGCGCGGGGCGGGCGGTGCTGGCCTAAGAGCGCCGGCTTCACGCCACAGCCGTGCCTCCCGCCCCGTAGAAAGATGCCCCGATCCCGACGCTGGTGCAGCGCATCCACCAGTTGCAGGCTGAGCGCGCGCAGGCCTTCCGCCGACTGGAGGAGTGAGTGCGGGCGCTGGGGCGGGCATGGGTCGCAGGGCTCAGCCCCTAGCCCGCTCCAGGGTGGGCAGCCCAGGGACGGAGCTGGGTCCCTGAGTGGCTGCACTCTCAGAGGTGGGGCGGGGTTTGTAGGGAGACCAGACCTTTACTTTCCCTCGCTGGGACCCAGGACGCGTCCCCACTGCCCGACGTCCCACTCCGCATGTCGCCTCTTTTTTTCCCCAAGCGCATAAGAGGTGGGCCCGTCTCAGATTTCCCTGCGGGAGTCAGGGTGTCCTCCACACTCTGCGGTCCAGGGACTCTCCTTGGGGGACTTTCAAGTAGTCGATGCTGGTACAGGGCCTGAGAGCCTGGGGGCGTAGTCTCAAGACTCCCACCTGCCACAGAGGCCACCGCCAGTACCTGCGCAGCGGCCCGCCCTACGACTTCCCGAGCTATCGGAGCACGGTGCACGAGGTGACCCAGGCCTTCGCCGCCGCCTCGCGGGAGGTACTGGCGGTGGAGGCAGAGCTGGCCGGGCCCCGAGCGCAGCCGCTACTTGCGAGCCATGTGCGAAGCCTGCAGCAGCTGGAGCAGACGCGCTTGGCCACGGTGAGAACCCGACCCCCGGCCGCGTGTACACTGTTCCACTACCTGTCTCTCTAGCGGTGGTCCACCTGGAGCCCTTTGGGGGAGGGGCTAGACTCCCTTCCACCCAAATCCTGCCCCGGCGCCCCAGACCCCACCTCTTCCTGCTTCACCTCAAACCTCCACCAAGGTTTTACTTGAGTCCGTGGTCGCCTCCCCTTCTGTCCACTTTCACTCAGATTTTGAGTCCCAGAACACTCCCACCCCACCCTTGCCCTCAGCCCGAGTCCAGGATGCCCAGACCCCGCCCACCGAACGTTCCTCGCTGTCTAGAATTTGTTAGCGCTTCAGATGTCGTCCATAACCCCCTGCAGATTGGGGGCGTGGATTTCCAGCCCACGACCCCTTCCGAGTAACCTTAGATCCTAGTTTAGGATCTGGGCCCCCTCTTCCCTTAGGGCCCCCAAGCCCCGCCTACTCTGCCTCTTACAGTCAATCCTGGCCGAGATACCCCGGTATTCTCACGCCACGCCCACGTGCGGCCACGCCCACGCCAGGCCGCTGGGGTTATGAGAACCCCCCAATCCCAGTCTAGGTTTTTAGTCCACTTCCACTCTGGGATTATAACTCTTTACCCCGTCCCTGAGACTTTGACGCCCTGCCTACTCCAACTCTGCCACCAATCCCTGGCTGAGACTGCCGCTCTTCCCACGCCACGCCCACATACGGCCGCATCCATGTCGAGCTCCGCACTGAAGCCACGGCCTGCCCATTCATCCCCTCTTCCTCCAGAGCCCTTCTAAACTGAATCCTGGACTCCTCCGGTGCGAAGCTCAGCCCCTCGCAACTCCCCGCCGTGGCCCCACCCCTGTGCTGCCTGTCTGGGTGTTTTAGGGTCCCTTTCTCCCTGAACTGGGTGGGAGGGCAGGGGGTGGCCTCTGCCCGCTGTGACACCCAGCTGCCCACCTCTGCAACAACAGGTGACCCTGCTGCAGCTGATGGGGGCGCCAGAGCTGATGGGGCAGGAGGACACCCTAAAGATGCGCCGGCTGAAGATGAAGTGAGCCCTGCCTCCCAATGGACTGACCATGCTAGCTTTGCACACGCACCCTCCAACAAGCATCTATCCCCAGCCAGGTGTGCCCCAGGGCTGGCCGGGTCAGACCTGGCTGACCCTCTGGACTTGAACACAACCCTTAGGGTGTGCACACTAGAGTCCTCACCTGGTGGCTCCCAGACATACAGCACACGTTCCTCCAGCACTCACACCCTGCAGCTACCCATCAGACTTGCTGTGCATTTCTGGGACCCAGCTGTGCACCTCATAAACGCTAATCCCCATCACCTAGCTGGACTTGAAGCTTGGACACAGTTGCCCAGGGCCCACCAAGCACACACATGTGCATACCCATGCGATATCTGCCATGGTCACATTGCACACTCTCCTGATGGCACCCACCCACCCAAAATGGCCTTTCTCCCTGCTTATTCTGACCTATGGGACCACCCACCCCCCATTCCAGGCACCCTCCCAGACACCCAAGTGATCTTCCCAGCTGCTAGTGCTGCCTAGAGGTTTGGCGGGGGGCAGGAGGGCCCCGGGGCTTTCCACAGCCCCCTCAGAGCAGCACAGCAGCAGCTAATTCACCCCATCTGGGTTTTATTTATAGTTCCCATCCGTTCTTGTAGGGTAATTAAAACCATGGAGGCGATCAGTGAGGTTCTCCAGGACCTCAGGTTTGATTCGGAATCTGCCGAGTGATGGTGGCTCCCCAGGGACATGCCGAGGGAGATGGGAAATGAGGTGGATGGCGCCCAGCCCAGCCCTGACCACCAGCTGGCTGGCGTCATGGCTCACCAGGCTGCTGACCCTCCTCGAGCTCACAATGCCTCCCACAATAAAGAACCCTTGGTCTACAGCCACTCCATGTCTCAGTGTCCTAGGGTGCTGGGCTGTGTGCCTGCGGAGGGGGCTCCATAAGGCCAGGGATGCTGGGTGCAGGACTGCCCCACTTCCCTGACTGTAGAAACTCTAGTGTTTTGAATCACACCTCCAAGGAGTTTAGAACCAGATATTTCAGGCACTGGAAAGAAAAAAGCTGAAATTCTGGGAGGCAAAGATTACAATCACAAAAGGTAATTAGGATTCCTCATGCCTCCCCTAAACCCCACAGCCCCCACCCCAGGCCATTCCCGCCCCCAAACACCTTCACAATCAGGGCACCTAAAGAGCTTGTTTATTTACAGACTCTTTGGAGGGGTCCTGGGTAGGGGGAGTAATGAGCCCTCTTCACCCCTGGCCCTGGCATGGGTTCTGGGGTGGCTTAACTGACCCTCACACACACACACACACCAGAGAGCACCCAAGTGTGGTCTCACATGGAGGTCAAAGATATGACCATCAGAGCACCCACCCCAGCTCCTGCTGAGGGTGCTCTGGCGCCCTCAGGTGAGGGTACAGAGGTGGCCCCCAATCTGGGTGCAGCCCCCAGGTCTCCACGCAGCAGGGAGGGTGGCCCCAGCCCCTAGAGCTTATCTGGCAGGACCTGCAAGCAGAGGGGAAGCCAGGCTAAGCAGGGAGTCTGGGAGGGGCCAGCACCACAGAGAAATTGAAGCCCTCGATCAGGTCCTGGCCCTGCCACTTTCAGCTGGGTGACCTTGGGTAGGGTACTACCCCTCTCTTGGCCATAATTTCTCAATCTGAGAAGAATATCCACCCCATGGGGGTGAAATATGTTCACTGATTCCTGAAGATGACATTTCATTTTGGGTATTTTCAGGGGTTCAGACGCTCTTACTAGGCTGAAGGCCACAGGGCCTGGCACACAGTAGGTGTTAAATAAATGCTGATAAATAGATGAAGGAGAAAGGTATTCGATCTCATACTCTAAGCTGAGGGTGGGGGCCCGTGGCCTGTGACCACAAGGAGTATCCTCTGTCCCTCCCTGCCAACCCACCCACCTGGGCCCCCTTACCTCTCGCCGCGCCCCGTCTGCCCGAGAGCAGGATCCCCTCGTCCTGTGCTTGGAAGGAAGGAAGCAGTGTCGGGCTGAGGACCGTCCTCCCCGCGCCCGCCACACCAACCTCTCGCCCGCCGGTCTCTCCTTCCTACCTGGTTGCGGGTCTTGTGCGACTTCTGCATCCAGGCTCGCCACTGATCGTAGAGGCGGAAGCTGAGGTTGGAGCAGTACGCGTGCTTCTTGAGCCAGCCCAGGAACTGCTTGAGCTCGCGCCGCACCGGCCCCGAGCTCGGCTCCCCGCCCCGCGGCTCGCACGCCCCGCCGCCCGGGCCCGGGCGCTCTGATGGGGGCGGAGCGGCAGCGTCAGGGCGAGCCCGGCAGAGGGCGCGCGCGGGCAGGAGAGGGAGGGTGCCCAGCGCGGCGGGCCGTGTACCCGCTCAGGCGACACCCTTCAAGTTTCTCCGGGGCCCGGTCCTCCCCGCGGCCCAGCACACCAGCCCTGCTGCGCCCCAGAGGAGGTGGGGGACAGGGGAAGGAGGGGAGCTCCTCTTGCAGACCTCCTCCAGGAACCGATTCCTGTGGCCTGAGCCAGGTGTGAGTGGAAGGGAGGGGGCAGGCAGAGAGTGGCCAGGGCCAGAGGGATGGGACGCAGAGACAGAGCAGGGGGCAGGGAGAGGGATAGAGAAACGGAAAGATGGAGACAGGAGATGCAGGGAAGAAAGCAGTCCCTGGCAGTCGAGGAGAGGAAGATGAAGAGAGGGGCTGGAGCAGGGATGTCGGATCCCCCTGGGATGTGGGGCCACAGAAATCGAGAAAGGCAGCAATACGGAGAGACTCAGAGGAAGGGAGAATGAGAGATGAAGGGAGACAGTTCGAGGAGACCCCCAAGGACAGTCCCTAGGACAGGCCTGAGTGCATGAGCCGTTGGGATGAGGCGTGGGCCGGGACGGCCAGGTGGGAGGCCGGCCTGCAGGTCCAGCTGCTGCAGCCAGCCCCAAGCAGGCCGGCAGATAAGGACATCGGCCTCACGTCATAAATAATGCCGGGAACCTGCTGACAGGCCCTGGCACGGCCCCGGCCCCCACCGCCCCTGCCGGCCTCCCCCGGCCTCCCCTGCCTCCCCAGCGGACACAGCCGCCTGCTGGCTCCCGTGCAAGAATCGCAGGTGCTGGGCACGAGCAGGGGCCAAGGCTCAGGCCCCTCCCAGCGGTGCTAGCTCACGCCTACCCCTGAACCTGGAGGGGCCCTGAGCTGGGGGCTGGGGAACTGGCTGGAGCCCAGCTCTGCCCCTCCCTTGGCTCTGGGAGCTTCTCTGGGCCTCAGTTTCCCCATCATCCTGTGAATGGGGGCCTGGACTTCCAGCAAACTAAGTTGGGATCCCTGTGTGACTCTAGGAGCTGGCTGAACCTCCTGGGACCTCAGTGTGCTATCCTGAGAAAAGGGGGCCTCTTTTGGGGTGAAACCATGGTTGGGGGGAGGCAGGGGATGGGAGCCTCAGTAACTCCTACTGGCAAACCCTTTGGTGGTGCCCACCCATGGAGGCACTTTCCAGGGAATGTCTTATCTGACCCTAACAAGAGCCCAAGACAGGCCTGATTATCGTTCCATTTTCCAGATGGGGCAGCTGAGGCCAGCCATTTCAAATAACAGATTTCATACCATTTCACAAAGGCGAGAAAGGAGGTCCACAGGCTTAGAGAAATGCAAATGACATGGTGGAGGTCGGACCCAGGCCTTTGACCATACCCAGCCCGCTACCTTGACAGAAGGGAAACCAAGCCACGTCAGCAGGAGAGTTGGCAGCCAATCTGCCTCAAAAGCAGGAGTCTCAAACTTGCTTGCCCTTAGGGGCTGAAGAGGGGGTACAGGAAGGTGAAACAGGCCAGGTGGGGTGCGGCAGCTGGAGAGTGAGGGCCCTGCCTGAAGGGGCAGCCTTTGCTGATAGAGCAACACTGACTGTGTCCTGTTACCTTTTCTAGACAATTTTTCTAGAGAATTGAGGATATCTGTATTCAAACTTCTTGTTTTTAAACCTCTGCAAGTAAGTCTAACATTTTTTTCAAATGACGGGCCTAAGAAAATACATCCAGGGGCCATATTTTGGCCCTTGGGGTTACCCATTTTAGACCTTTGCTTTCTTGGAGGAAACAAGGAAATACAGGTGCCGGCTGATCTGGGGCGCCTCTCCGACCACTCAGCACTGTTGGGGTGCTCACCACTGCGGGGGGTGGAGGCAGCTGTGGGGTGGCTCCATTCACTCCAGATCCCAGCTTTCTTAGAACCATAGATGCCAAAGGGGTTGCAGCGCACTTGCACAAAGTAGACGGTACCTGGCTTCAGGCCGGCCAGGCGGCATGAAGTCTGATTGCTTACATCGTCCACCACCTGGGTGTCAAGGGCAGGGTCAGAGGCTGGGGGCAGAGGGAGGGGGATAGGGCAGAGGGAGGGGCGGGCACCTTCCAATCCACGCTGTCCTCCACTCGGTAGCGGATCTGGTACTTGGCTTGGAAGAGGAAGTCCTTGAGGGCAGGCGGGGAAACCCAACGCACACTCAGCTGGTCCTCCAGGCCCCCCACTCGGCTCACGTGCACGTCGGGTGGGGGGTCGGTGGTCACTGCAGGGCAGGGTGGGGTTTAGTCCCCTGGCTGTCCTAAGACCTGGCCAGCCTCTGTCTGGGTTCAAATCCCTGACCAACGTGGCTTAGGTGGCACCTGGCTCCATTTTCCCCCTGCAACTCCAGGACGGGTGGATTACAATAGATAATATGGGGAAACACTCAGCACCTAGAAGCACTCAATTAATGTTAGCTGTTATCACCGTGATTATCTGTGACAGGAGAAACATAATCCTATCTTCAGGGAACTATGTAAAAACAGACACTGCCTGGACCGATGACATTATTATTATTATGCCTAGGAGGCCAGGGGTCTGTCAGGCTGCCAGACCCCTGAGAAGCAATCCCTGATTCCCTACTGCCCACCTCCAGCTCCTTCCTCCTTTACAAAGGTCCTCAATAGGAGAGCCTTGCTGGCTGGAGAGGGACAACTGAAACTTAGAACATGCCCCCTGCAGCTCCAGGACTTGAGGAAGCGAAGCCAGAGGGCTGGGATGGTTGGGTGGACACAGGCCTTCTGTGGATCCTTCTGGCAGCCCTGTGGGTGGCAGGGCAGGCTGGCTTCTCCCCCGAGGCCTTGGTGAGGGGCCGAAAGGGTTAAGGCACAGGCCTGCTTGGGGCTGAGAAACACCCTAATTAGATTAGGCCCAATTCTGCTCACAGATCATCCATTTCCTGCCTCCAGCCTGCACACACCCCCCCTCCACCCAGCTTCAGGCTGTGGCTTCCTGGGGCGCCTCCTGACCTGGGCGCCCCCTCCTAGCTCCCCTGGGGCCCCCTCCCACACACCTGGGCTGCAGAGGGGGAGGCAGCCAGGCCAGGTGTTCTCTGCAGAGCGGGAGTATCCTGGCTGCTTCAGGAGGCTGGGGACAGATGGGTGGATGCCTAGTTCAGGGGTGGACCTGGGAGCTGCAGCCATGGGCTGGGCTGGCGGGTGGGTGGCAGGGCAGGATCCCTGGTAGGCCAGGCTGACCCAGGGGTTTAGGGGAGCTCACCCACATCCAGGATGTCCAGTGTGAGCACATCGGAGCGGGCTGAGCCTAGACGGTTGGTGGCCTCCACCCAAATTTCATAGGGTGTAAAGAGAGCCAGGTCTTTGGGGATGTGGCAGGAGTGAGGTCCCACTGTGTGGTACTCCTCACACGTGTTGTCCTGCCCATACCACCTGTGGGGGCAGGAGGGAGGATAAAGATGTATAAGGATCCCTTTGGACCCCCAGACATCCCCATGGCAGCCCCAGAGTGCAGACAGGACACCAGGCTCACAGGGCGGGCTTGGCCAAGGCCACACAGCTAGGCTGGAACACAAGCCACCTAAGGGACACCACCAACCTCAGCTTGTACTTGAGCGAGTAGTTTGTGTGCAGGAAGGTCTCTCCATGGGCCCCCGGTGTCCAGCGGCATGTCAAGTCCTTCATGTTCTTGGACCAGCAGCTGATGTTGAAAGGTTTCTCTGGGGGCACTGGTGGCGAGGGTACAGGGGGCTGAGGGTCTCGACTGGCCATGGTCAGGTGGAGGAAGCTGCCAGCCACTAGCCAGGCCCACACCTTGGAGTGGACAGAGTGGATGCTGGCATGGCCACCTGCCTGGCTCTCTAGGGAATGGTATGTGTGTTGGGTGGGGTCTGTCTACAGGCTCTCATTCCCACACCAGAGGCCCATATCTCTCACCCCAGGCCAGTGTCTTCAAGATTCCTGCCTCTCTCCAGAGGAAAATGCTTCTCCCAAGAGTTAGCCCTGGGTGTCCTGGAGGCCCACTTACAGCCAACATAGAGGCAGGAGCCGGCCAGGATGCTGCCATCACGGGCGTGGCACACAAGGTTGTCCCCCGACTGCTGCCTGGATCCGTTGAGGTTGGCCAGAGCGAGGGCCAGGGTGGAGGCGTTGAGCACTCGGGAGAGCTCGGGGGCTAGGCGACGCCCATTGAGGGTCCAGTAGAGGCCCTCCACAGTGGTGCCTGGTGGGTCCCCGTGCACTGAGCACGTGGCCTGCAGGGAGGAGCCGATGAGGAGTGTGGGATCCTGGGGGCTGATCACAGCTGTGTCTGGAGTCAGAGAGGAGTGAGCACCTGTTAGGCCCGGGATGGAGTTGCCTTGAGCACCCCCACCATGACAAGATCTCCAGGACTCATGGCAGTCTGGCAAAGGAGCTATTATTTATAGATAAGGAAATTGAGGTTCAGTTTGGTCACATTGTCAGCCCAAGGTTGGCAGCAAAGCGGAGACATATGCCCAGGATTGTCCGATGGCACAACTCAGGGCCTTTGACACCTGCTCAAGGCTCTAGAAGTAGTTACAAAACTCAAATCCAAGTGACTTGCTTTGCACATAATTCTGACAACTACTAGTCTGCTTTTTATATTTTGCTTCAACTCCTTTTATTTTTGGCAAGTAGGAATAAAAGATTGTGAGTCCTTTCTCTAATTCACCCAGAGCCTCACACATAGTGGTATCTTTGGGTGGGGAGGCAATTTGAAAAAGCAGCACCCTCAGAGAAGACACGTAATGACTTGATAGCATCTTACTATGCTGATGGACAGTGAGTGCAGTGGGGGAGGTGAGGATCTCATAATATGGGTGACTGTTGAAACTACAGTGTTCATGTGAAGCCTTCATAACATTATATGTCAATGATACTTTAATTTTTTTTAAACTGCTAAAAAAAGAAGAAAAAATGAGGTGCCCTGACCTCTCCTAGAATCCTGCTTATTTTATGAAGGAAAAAACTGCATAATCAAGTCCCTTACTCAAGGTCACCAAACAGGGGAAGGGCACATAATTAAACTCAGATTTGTCGGTCTCCAAAGTTCCACCACTGGCACTGAAGGAGGCTGGGGTGAATTCTAAACCCCTAACCCCCATCCAAAGGGACCGCCATAATCGTTCTTTCCCCTGACTCAGTTTTCCAATTCTGCAAAATGGGAATAAGAGAACTCATGTCACCTCCCCAGGGCCCCTGTGAAGAGCAGATGAGAAGTGACTTCCTAAACTGTGTTCTGTGTGAGTTAGGTTCTGGGTACTGGGCCTCAGGGATGCTGTGTTGATGTCTTCCCTCCTGCCTGCCACTGGGGCAGCCCAGGGCTTCTCCTTCTGGAGATTAGAACCAAAGAGAAGCCTGTTTTTATCCAAGGGGAAACCAAGGCCCAGAGAAGGGGATGAGGATGCACATTCCAAGCCCCTGCCACCCTCTCTTAGTCTCAGTATCCCCATCTGGGAAGTGGTCATGATGGTATCAGGCCCATGAAGTTGAGAGGAATGAAAATTTCATCCTAAGGACAATTCTGTGCAATCACTAAGCCAGGCTGACCGGGGTTTGAAAGTCTCCAGCTTACTGTGGAAGCTTGGGCTGGTCACTTTACTTCTCTGAGTCTCTGAGAAAGGGCCTCTGCCTCTACCAAAAGTGGTTGTGAGGATCCATTCATTCATTCATTCATGGAGCATTCTTGTGCCAGAAGCTGGGGGCACAATGGTGACCAAGATACCCAAAATTCCTACCCTAGTGGGCCTTGAATCCAAGAGAGCAGCAGGAAAAAGAACAAATAAATATCTAAGAAAAATAATGAGGGAGGAAGTAAAGCATAAAATCAGTAGTGGCAGCTCAGTGGCAATGGAGGCCTGACTGGGGAGGTGACAGTTGAGCTGAGACCTGAATAAAGTAAGAGAAGTAGCCATAAAAATACCTAGGAGAGGGTATCCAGGCAGCAGGAGCAGCAAGTGCAAAGGTCCTGGGGCAGGAGTAAAGAAATGAGGTCTAGGAGGTCAGCAGGGCCTGACCTGCAGGGAGGAGTTAGTCCTAGATTTTGAGGGGTTTATATTTTAAATATATCCCCAGGCAGCTGTAGGAGGGACTGCCATGGGCAAAGGGGTTGGGGGTAGCTCAGCTCCGCTGATGGCAGCCAAGGACAGGGTGATTCTGGCCCCCTGGAAGGCCCGCTGAATGCTAGCGGCTGCCCCATGCTGGCCCTCACTGCCCCAGATGGGCGAGGTGGGGTGGACACAGTTCCAGGAGCCGGCCCTGACAATTTTCCGGGGCAAACTTGGCTTGAGGGCCATTTCTTGCTGGAGCCTGGGATTGCAGTTGTGTTTGGGGCTTGGCCCAGGGCTCGCTGGAGGTCTCAGCATCCGTGCGAAGGAGCCGGCTGAGCGGGCCAGAGCTGAGGAGGCGGGGGCGGCCAGGGGCGGGGGGCCAGGGGGCCGCCCCGGAGGTCCCAGGCAGCCAGCCGCCCGCTAATTCGGAATTCCTGCAGCATGAACTCGGGCGTGCCAGCGTCTCTGCCCTGGCCCACCCACTGCTTCCTGCCTGGGCTACCCCCCAGCACAGTAGGAGGCATGGCCAGGCCTGCCTGGACCCCAGGCCCACTCTCTACCTTTTGGGGGTGGGTCACACCCTTTCTGCCCCTCACCCAAAGGCACAGCCGAGCCAGGAAGGGGTACTCTAGGGAGTGGTCTTGGCTGGGGGCATTGCCCCTCTGCCACACCCACCTGGCCTGGGCTGGCATGGCCTGCCTGCCTGCCAGCTGCTGCAGCTGCCCTCCCAGGACTGGGCCAGGGACAGGGCAAGAGGGCAAAGCCAAGCGGGTCTGGAAAGGCCAGTCCCCCATCAGGAAAGTTCAGAGGGAGGCTTTCTCCTCCTGGGATGAGGGTGCCAATCCCAGCTGGAGCACCGGGGTACTTAGCTTCCCCCTCCCCTCAGTTTCTTCCTCCCTGAAATGGGAAGAAAATACGTCCTACCTGCTGGGGAGATTAATGAGATGAGATCATGATGTCCTGAGAGCCCAACACACTGCAGCACCTAGGAACTATTAGGATTATAGCCCTCCCAGCTCTGGAGTCCTGACTGACTACATACTCCCTCCAAGCCTCCCAAACAATGGGTCCAAGCACTTGGGACTGGGGTGCACACATTTCAGGCCAGGCAACACAGCTGGGAACAGCCCACTGAGGTTGTGGGGCCCTTGGCCTGGTTTTGGGGGGCCACTGAGAAGGCTCCCCAAAGCAGATCCTTGGGCTAGGCTTTTGGACAGTCCTCCCTACCCCCACCTCCACCTTTCCCGTAGAGCTGGGGCCTTTAAAAGTTTTTTTCCTTCTCCCTTCCCAATCTGGAGCCACTGCCGTTATTAAAAAGGAACACCATGTGTTTTAAAAGGGAAAAGTGTGAGATTCTCTGCAAGCGAGGCAGGAGGGTGGCCTCAGTCCTGGTGTCCCTGTGGGGGTCCCCATCTCCTGTGTGGCTGATACCTGCAGATACTTTACTACCCACCCGCCTGCTAGTCAGGTGCTAAGACACACCGTAAGTAGAAACATATTGCAGAGGTGTGAGAATCTTTTATTTAATTTCTTTCCCCTTAAAGTAAAAAACACACACACAACAACCAGCCCCTCCACCCCACTTTCGCCTGCTGCTCTACAGGCTGAGAAACAAAGCCGGCCACTAATGGTGGCATTCACAGGCGCTGCTCACTGTCTGGCAGAGCTATCAGGGACCCAGGGAGGGCCTGGAGCAGCCCCTTATCTGCCCAGGCACATTGGACATGCTGGCCTTTCAGCAATTTCCCTTGGGGGCTGCCCAGACCCTGCCCTTTCTGGAAGAGCACCGCAGGGAGCCTGCAAACAGCTCTGAGTAGTGTGGGACAGCCCAAGGGGCAGTGTGTGCCCGTCCCAGGAGACCTGTGCGCCTGGGCGGGTTAGGCGGAGTGACGGCGAATGTCCAGGGCAGGCTGTGCCTTCGAGTGTGCCCCTGTGTTGCCTCCACTGAGGAATGAGTGTGTGACCACGAATGTGTGTGTGTCAGGGATGGAATGTGTGTGTGTTTCGATGGTGTGCCAGCGTGCATCTGGGATGCAGTGTGTGTGCGTCTGAGGGCGAGGGTGACGGGCCACAAGCCAGTGTGAGTCTTTGTGTGTCTCTGGGTGTGTCCCAGAGCGGGTCTGGTTGTGGAGATGGTGTCCTGGCGGGGGTGTGCTTCGAGTCAGGGGCTGGAGAGTGCCGGGGGCCACGAGGTCCCAACAGGGCGGGAGTCCTGGCCTGCCCGGCTGTGGGTTCCCGGCGGGCCCCCCTATCAAGGCTGGGCCCGCGGTGCCCGGATTCACTGTCTCCCGCTCCTTCTTACCCACTCTCTCACAAAGATTTTTTTCGTTGGAGACTCTCAGCCCGGCACAGCCTGGCGGGTAACTGTTCGGAGCCCACTGGTGGCGGGGACTCTGAGGACCTCCGCGCTAGGGGTCCCGTCAGGGGAGGGCTGAGGCGCCGGCCCGCGGAGAGGCGCGTCCCCGGGGACCCCGGGCCGCGCGCCAGGCGGCCAGAGCGGCCCCCCTCCCGCCCCGCCTTTCCCGCGGGGCTCATCGCTCCACTGGGTGTGGGGGGTCGCCCGGGGCCGGTACCCAGCGCGCCTACCGCGTGCGCCCCCGCCCGGGAGAGGTGCCCCGCAGACTCTGCCGCGACGCTGTCTCGTGCGCCCGCCGCGTCCCGGCGGTTCAGAGGGTCCCAGGCCGCGGTTCCCCGACCCCAGGGGGCCAGGCCGGGAGTCCTCGGCTGGGCGGCTCAGGTAAGAAGGCCTCAGGCACAGAAGCCAGACCCTTGGGCCGGGGGACTGCGGCGCCATGCGCCCCGCAGGTGAGGACGCCCCGAGGGCCGCGCCGGGGGCGCCTTCCTTTGTTCCCGGCCGTCCAGGTGGCGCCCGCACCCCCTCCCCCCGCGGCTGCCCCCCGGGCGCACGCTCTCAGCCCAGGCGGGAAGAGGGGAGCAGGGCGCCGGGTACTCACGGGCTCCTGATCCGGCTCGCGGCGCCCCGAGGACGCAAAGCAGCAGTAGGGGCAGCAGCGGCGGCGGCCGCCGCGCGGATTGGGCGGCGGGGCCCTGGCTGCCGGCGGGCATGGGGCCGGCGCTGCCGGGGGCGCGCGGCGGGCGGTGGCGGCGGCGGCGGCGCGGGATGCGGGGCTGGCGCTGGAGGGCGCGGGCCGGGTAGCCCGCACGACGCTGGGCGCGGGCGCGGAGGCCGGAGCAAGTCTGAGCAGCCGAATTGACAAGGCGCTAATGCGCCGCTGGCCCCGCCCGGCCCCGCCCCCGGCCCGGCCCGGCCCCGGGGGGGCAGCAGGCCCCGCACCGGCCTCCCCGCCGCCCGCCCGCCCGCCCGCGGGCATCGCGCGCCCCACCCGTCCGGCCTCCGCCCCACCGCGCACCGCGCGCGCCCTGTCCCGCGGCCCAGAACCCCCTACTCAGCCCCTACCAGCCTGAGACCTCCCTTTCCAACCCCGCCAGCTCCTTGCTCCCCACCCCCAACCTGGGACCTGGAGCCCCCAATCCTGTTTCCACACCCTCGCCCATTTCCCTGCACACTGCTCTCAGCTCCGTGCCTCTTCAGTTTCCCCTGCGGCCCCCAGTCCCGGCCCGCTGTTCCCCCCACCAATCCTGTCCCCGCCCCCCACTGAATGGTCCCTGAGCCCGGTCTGCTTCCATCTCCAAACCCCACTTCTTCCCCACGGGCCCGAAAGTCGCCTCTGAACCCGCGTCCTCGGCGCGCTGGTTCCACCGGTCTCTGCCCAGCGCCCCCCTTCCCGCTTCATCCCTCCTCTCCTTGGTCCTTCGCGCGCAGCCTGGGCACCAGGTTTTGCTGGAGGGAAGACGGAGAAAAAGCTGGAAAGCAGAGGCTCCGGCCCTCGCCCTGTCTCAGCTGTTCCCGTCGCCGGGGATGGGGCTGAGGTTCATCGCAGGCTCCCGGGCGCCTCAGGGCGGAGCTCCTGAGTGGGCAGACGCGGAGAAATGGGCCCCGGTGGGTGCGGGGATCCGGGCCTGCGGGGTCCCACAAGCTGACAGAAGGAATTCCCAGGAGGAGGGCGGTAAGGAGGCCCTCCCCAGGACTCATTGACACCCCCCCACGGAAAAATCCGCTCAGCGGCCCGCGGGTGGGGTGCGCCACGCAGTGAGTAATCGCTCCGGCGGCCGCCGCCCGCTGACTTCAGGTAACGCCGGCTGCCCGGAGCGGCGTGTAGTCTGTCTTCCTTTTCTTGCGCAGGGATCCTTCCCCGTGTTATTATTTTTGGCCACTGCTTGGGTTTGGGGACCCCTCCCGGCCCAAGCGCCTCAACCCCCTCCTCTCAGTCCCTACCGGATTCGGGCGCCTAAGATAAAAAGGCTCCTGGCCTCCAAGGCCGCGATGGAGGGGGGTCTCAAAATGAGAGTTCCGGGCCGTCTCCACCGCATGGTTTGAGTCGCTGCCCCGCCTCCAGCCGCGAAGTCCTGGGAGAGGAAGGGCTCTAACTGCCCCTTCCAGGGGTTCCCTTAGAGGCCTGGACTCTCCCTCCATGGCCCTAACCAGCCAAAGGGTAGAAGTGGCTGAGGGGGCTCAGTAATTCCCACCTTGTTTGCTCAAGGCTGCCCTGTTCCCAGCTCAGACCCGGGACTGTCAGTAAAGAGGATTGCAGGGGTAGCTGTGCACATCCCTCTCCCAATCTAGACTCTGGATGGGTTTGCGAGGGGGGGGAGTAAAGCCCTGGCCTGGTACACTGCTGTTTATTGGGACAAACCAGGCCTCTTGGCCTCAGTTTACCCCTGGGCACAATGGGTGACTCCCAGCCAGCCTATGGGTTTCTGTGGGAACATGGCAGGGCTGTAGAAGGTTCTACAATCTAAGTGCTTAGCACAGTGCCAAGCACCAGGGGCATTTTCCTTTAGAGCAGGTGGTCCCCAGGCCTCAGTTCGTCACATCTGAAAAATGGGGCCATAGTCCCACCTTGCCAGGTGGTCCAGAGGGTTAACTGGAGTGGACAGTTCTTGGCTGGAATTGTGTTTCCAGTATTCACACCACCCCTCCCCCAAGCCCCTCCTCTGCACTGTTGGACTCCCTCTGAGGACAGGCTTCTGAAGCAAAATCTTAATGTCCCCCCCACCATCTCTGCTCCTCTCCAAGTCATTCCCAGGCCTGGGAGAAAGGCTCCCCCATCCACCCAGGTGCTCAAGCCAGAGAACCTGGAAGCGTGTGTGACAACTCTCTCTGCTTATCCCCTACGTCCGATCCATCAACAAATCTTGTTGGCTCTGATTCCAAAACACATCCCCATGCGGAGATTCTGACCCCTTCTTCGTAACTCATATGGCCTTCTTCGTAACTCATATGGGTCTAGGCCCTACAGTCTCTTTCTGGGATGCCACCCCAACCACCTCCCGGTGACCCTGAAGCCATTGTCTGCTCAGCAGATGGAGGGAGCTTTTAAAAGAAGCAAAGCAGGTCTTCTCTGCCCTAGCACCCTCTCCCTCCTTGCCTTTTCTCTTTCCCTCTGTCTTCCCCTGCTCTCCCTTCCTGTGCTCCAGCCACTGCAATCCCATCTCCCCCAAAGTTTCGCTGCTATCACAAGGGCTCTGCACATTTGCTGTCCTCTTTGCAGGGATGCAGTTCTCCCAAATCTTTCCCCAGTTAAGTACCTTCTCTTCTATCAGGTCACAGGTTAAAGAATTTCCTTCTCAGAGGGGCTTCCTGCCCTTCCCGGTTACCTTCCATCCCCTACAGACCTTTTAAAATTGTCTTTCAAACACAGCTCTTCATTTTTCTCTTGCAATTTATTTTCTTTAGGCTGAGCACCCTCAGAGCTATTGATACCCCATGCTGGGCCTAGTTAGGGCTGCAGGAGAAGAGCTCAACGAGCAAAATGAAAGGATGGAGAATTCACAGTCCCCCAAGTAGCAGGAAAACTCAGTCGCAGTGAATCCTGCTGCCTGGAGTCCCAGCCAGGCCCACGCCCCTGACTTGCTGTGTCACCCAAGCTGGTAGCCACCCTTCTCTGGTCCTTACCCATAGAAGGATATGATTGCCCAGGCCCATCCTGGAGCATGCCCTCTGCCCTCTGCCCTCTGGGTGGCTTTTACCTTATACCTTTGACTTTAAGGGAAAAGATTTGACTCCTTGCTTGTCCTTGGTGCGCCTAGAAGCTTAACCCCTTCTTACCAGCCCCACCACGTCTTTGCACAGGAACGTGAACTAGCGTTGACAGAACTTTGGGCAAATATTGACCCAAGTCCTTGAAGGTGGCTGGGAATGTACTGAGGGGGCAGATGGAGAGAGGGCCCCACATGAGCTAGGGGAAGGGCTCCTCATCAGTCTTGCACCCTCTGCAAAGGTTTAGGTTGGGGCAGAAACCCCAGCTCCAGCTCCCTGTGTAATTCTGTGGCACTCAGGGGTTTCTGGGGGAGGGGGCAGTGGTAACAGCACCTTCAAGGTCCCACAGGTACCCAGAGCCAGTGGGAGTGAGGGGGGCACAGAGCTGCCTCTCCCATGCCCAGACCCCCATGCTCAGGCCCCTGGGTATAGGGTTTAGCTGCTTTGTGTCCAGGCCAGTGCTCCCAGGGACCACCGGGCAATGAGGCCCTAAGTGGACATGGCACTGGGACAGCAGAACCCAGTTTCAGGACCTGTGTGCTGGAGAAGGTAAGGCTTTATCGTTTCCACCCTGGAGGTTGAACCTAGGGAGCTGGGCTGCCTGGGGCCCAAGCTTTGTGGGTTCTGTCCTTTAAATTTTCACACCCCATGGGCACTGAGGGTGGGGTCTCCTGGTGCAGAGCTGCCTAGGTCCAGGTTAAGGTCAGTGTGCATCTGGCCATGGAGACCTGGGTGCCCTGCTCCTCTGCATTCTGCAGAACCTAGGATTTCTGGGGTCCAGGAGGCACCAGCTGCCTTGGGGAGGGACAGCAGTGCCCCTTTCCCCTCACTCCATGTTAGCAATTGCCGGCGCCACGGTGACTTGCCTCCTCCCCAGCCTGTACCCAGCTTGGGGGTAGGGGTCAGCAGGGTCGTGGTGAGGGCGGCAAGGGACAAAGGGCGCTTGTCCGATACCCTCCCTGACCTCGGCCACCGCTTCCCGGACGCCTGCCCAGCCGCTGATTCACGCCCAGGCGGGCCGCAGTGCCCCCAGCCTGCCGCCCCCGCCAGGCCGCCCCGGGGGGTAGGAAGTGAGGGGGGGGGTGCCGAGGGGCGGCGCCGAGTCAACTTTCCCTCTTAAGCCCCGAAGGAATGTCGGCGGATTTCCTGAAACCCGACCCCGGCCGCCCGCCGGCCCTCCCGCCCCTCACCTGGACCTGCTCCCTCGGGAACTGCAGGAGGGGCTCGGGGCTCACCTGGGGGACCGGGGTCAAGTCCTCCTTCCGCTCCCGCCCCCAGCGGCCTCGTGCAGCGGAAACGGGGGTGGGTGGGCTTCAATCAAACCCTCTTATTCCTGCTTTCGGGTGAGCTAGGCCCCCAGCCCTACCTTTCTAGCCTCAGTTTCCCCTTCCGCAAAAAGGCGCTGGGTTCCTTCCTTGTTGCGCTTTAAGCAACGCCTCTGATGCCCCATCCTCTCCCTTGACAAGGCTTTGTCTACCTCTTGCTTCTCTCGCTTGTCACCTGGGCCAACCCCTCCCTCCCATTCTTCTGCCGCGTTGCCACCCGGAGCCTCAGTTTCTTCATCTGTAAACTGGACAACGCTACCAGTACTTTCTTATGGGCTATTTCAAGAAAATACCTGGGAAGTGCTTTGTTTCGAATGAATGAAGGACAGTAATTGTGTAAAGCTTAAGCACGCAGGGGCTCTGGAATTGACATGTGTGGGCTTGAAGCCTAGCTCTGCCCAAGGATGCTGCTAAGAGGCCTAAGTTTCCCACTTGTGAAATGGGGGACAGTATCGGTCATACTCGGGGACTTTTTCCCAAGGTACGGGCCTGGTGCGCAAAGGGTTAGACGCGGGATTCCGTCGCCCTGCTGCAAACCGTAGGCTGGAGGCCCTTGCCGCAGGGTTGTCCCTGCCTAGCCCAGGAGGGGCGGGGCGGGGCGGGGCGGGGGAGGGGCCGCGCCGGGCTCCAGATGTTCAGGGTCCGCCAGGCACAGCCGCGCCTGATTAAGCCACGTGGGGGCCGGCGAAGGCAGCGG